AGGCACGGTGGGTGGCTCATACCCCTGCCCAGAGGGAAGCAGGATCCCTCCCCCTCTCCTGCCCAGCTGCCAGGGACCCATGTTGGGATGGTGGCACTGGGTTCTGGACTCTGCCCTGGGACTACAGCCCTGGCTGGGCCAACCAGTGGTGGCTGCTGCTACTGCTGCAGTAGCAGCAAGAGGCTGCCCAGGTGCAGCTGCTGCTGCACTAGGTGCTTACATGTGCTACCTCTGCAGAATAGGTGCAGGGGGTGGGGGAGCCATGAGCCTGGCCTTGCTGGCCATAAGGGTGCTTTGTGCCTGGGTCTGCATGGAGCTCCATGCCTCTTCCAGGTGCTGCAGCCAGGAGCCAAAGGGATACCAGACAGCCCCATGCCAGGACAGTGTGAAAGCGTTGGGCTGGGGGAGAAAATTGCAGGGGTGCAGGGTGCAGTCTGGTGAGGAGGCAGAGCAACATTGTGTGCCAGTCAGGTGGGCAGGCAGGCACTGTTTCTGCCTACCTGCCTGATGCACCATGCTACTTTACCTCTGCCTCTGCCTGCAGCAGTGCTGCTTATTTGGGAGACATGGGGATGGGGCAGTGTCCCGGATTTCCCATGGTGTCATATGCTCACCTTATGTATATGGCAACCCTGACTGGCAGACTTAGTCTGCACATGGTCAGCCTGTGTTTCCCTGCAGGATAATGTGGAGATTGTGAATGGGGCATGTTCTATTTCCTGCTTGGCCCTGAACACTAGGCTGTGTGTAGACAAAACAAGAGGTGTGTGTGTATGAAACTTTAAAGTGGGCTAAATGCTTCTGCACTCTTTTAATGGTGTTAGTGTTTGCACGCCTTCGTGGTGTATTGTGCATTAATTACAGTCACTGTAGGAAATTCGGCGGCGTAATGCACCTTAAATGACTTGGGGTGCAGCAAACTAAAACTCCTTTGAGGAGTTTTAGTTTGCTGTTCCTACAGCCATGGAGCGAAGCACCGGGCCCTGTGCATCTCCACGGCTCTGCAGGAAGCCCTGCAGGCAGTCTGGCAGTAGCCCAGGAAAGCAGGTTCCACACAAGAAAAGCGGTGAGCCTGATTTTTCCCTGCCCCCTGGAGCCTGTCTGCCTTAGTTGCACAGGGACCTGGTGATTCCCTCCACACCTGCAGTGTCCCCTGGGACTGCCCGAGCCGGCTGCCTGCAGGTGGGTGCTGCCGGGGGGGCACTGCCACTGCCACAGAGGCTAGCACCAGCCCCTGCAGCTCAGGGACTGCTCCACCTGCCAGCAGCTCACCCTCCCCACCAGGGAGTCAGGTAAGGTGTGTGAATGACCTAGGGGTTTAATCAGCCCTAAATTGAAGCAGTGTTTTTTAAAACCCGCCACTTCAATTTAGGGCCCCCGTTTTGTCTATACATGCCCCTGGAGTCCAGCAAGTGACACACTATCTCTGAGGGTGGGCAGAAGGAAAGCACTCTGGGATACTAAAGGATTGTGCTATGGCTTCTCTCATAAGGGAATGTGTACAGACATTCACTCTCACAGGAGATGCTCATGTAATTGATTTAACTCTGGTTGTTCCCAGGTATTTTTCTTACGGAGCAGCCATTTTTGTCTGGGAGAAAAATCTTGAACATCTGTACACTTAGGATTTTTCCTGGGAGAGCAGCAACTCTCTTAAGAGAAAATGAATGCCTGTGCAAGCAGAGTTTTACAATCAAAGAGACAAAACATCCTTTTGTCTGTGAGAATCAGTTTGCTTTCAATATGTACTAAAAGAAATGTGAAATAATTCCACAGAAGAAACATAACAAGGTCCTCTTCAAAGATACAGTGATATATCAGTTTGTGAGCAGACTCCTGAAAATGCTGTGGTGATCTGCAGTTATGCTAGAAAGAACTGGAGAATATACTAGTTTCCATACATTTTTTGAAACACTAGAATGGATTACTGAAATACTTTCTGGCTGGATTCTGTACTTTTAAACAGGACACAGTCTTGGCACATTCTTTACTAAAACTAAGATAAGTGCAAGATAATGACTTGTGCTTAGCATGTTGGCTGAACTGCCATTCACAAATTGGCTACTTTTATAAAAGACTATATATTTTAAGTAGATTGAGTTGACTTGGTTGATGCTGGGCATTTGTCACACATTAATCTCTGGAGAACCCATACAGAAACTTTTTTTGGATGAACATAATGTTATTGTATGAAAGGCGAAGATTTCTTAGGGTGATATGTTTTATTGGACTAACTGTATAGTTGGGAAATGAGTTAGACAAGCTTTTGAATGCAAGACATTCTTCTCCAGGTCTGAACAGAAAAAGCCAAGCCCTATCCCGAACTCTATCCCACAGACACTTAGACATGGACATCCTTTGTACATGCAAATAGTCTCAAAGCTATTCTAATTTAGGGTCTGTTTACATGAAGAAAGACAAGAATCACTATTGTGGAAATACAGTTCTATAATAGCTATTCCAAGGCAAAAGTGCCCTTTTCACTCTACTTTGGCTGTGGATGAAACTAAAACGGAATGAAAGGCACTCTTTATGCCTAATCAGACTATCCGCATAGGGAGCTGGCGCAGAATAACTTTAAATTCACACTCTACAAGACTTCACAGTAGCTTCCCTATGTAAATAAGCTCTTAGACAGGGCTGCCTAAAAATTCGCTGGGGAGCTCTCCAACCTGCATAGCAGCTCAGGATTATGGGACAAAAACTGGCTTCAGGCCAATTTATCCCTTGTCAACATTACAAAGTTTTGCTATCAGAGCTCCGTCAAGCCAGAGTATAAAAATATCACATCCTGTGGGCAACATAATGCTGCTAGCAAAACTCCCCATGCAGGTGCAGCTCTGTTAATAGAAGGTGGCTTCTGTTGTTGGGGGAGCCGGTGTTGCTCTGGTGGCAGAAAAACTTCTGAGTTTTTCTTAACAGAGTTGCATTTTTGTCCAGCATATGCTGCCCGTGCAGGATGGGTGAGGGGGTGCAGCTGGGTCATCCATAGTCTTACCTCTGTCCAGTGTCTCCTCAATTCTCTGCTGTACAGTTTTTGGGGGCAGCACTGATACTTACCCATTGACTCCATGATTGGAATTCTGATTACACTGAAGTCAGCAGACAACAAGGCCAATATTTCAGCCCAGGTTTCACAAAGACCCATAATGCCAGTCTTTTCTCTTCAAAATTCTATTTTGAAGAGAAAAGAAATATAGTATTGATGACTTGTTTTAGCTTACTGGTTTACTTATTAAACCAGTCTGGAAATGACAGTAGTTCCATGACAGTTTTCTAACTTTTGCCTCCAAAAAAAGGGGTAACTTCCTTTTCTGGAAGTGTAAAAGTCTAAAAGTGGGTGTAAATAATTTTTAATATATTAATGGTGTGAGATAGATTCTGTATTCATAAAGAATCAGGTCCTCTGACTTATATGAAACCTAAATGGGTACAACAACCATTATAAATAATAACCATTATAAACAAAGTACCATTCATTACTACGATATTACATTTCTCTTCATTCAAAATAGTGTAATATGAGTATTCTACAGGAATTCTTGTTGTAAATTAATTTTCATTATGTCCATTTATGTAAGAATGATGTAAATTAAATTATGGCAATAGGAGGCAAACCACCACATTCACTTGCAGAGGGTTGACCAGGTATGTATAAATGATATGATGCAATTTCATGGCCAGTCTCCATAAATGGTCAAGCTGTAGTAAATACAATATTTTCTTGTTTCAATCTTCCTAATAAAGCAGCAAACATTTTATTTTGGGAACTTGAAGAATCAACTTTTAGGCTAGGGACAGACATTCAAAAAGCCTGAGCCTGAATTGATTCAATCTTGGCAGGTTAGTCTAACCTGGCAAGGCTGAACTGGTCTCTAACTGGACAGACATTCTCTCTGGACTGTGGAAATTCAGGCACATGCTCCCTTCCCTTGCACAGTACTGAGCTGGGGGGGGAGGGGGGTGGCCAGACCCTGACAGGACCTTTGTTTAGGGAGGTCTTTTCCCTGCTGGCTGATCAAGGGGCAGGAGTGTTGCCAGCCCCCAGCCAGCTCTCTGAGGCAAGGGGAGGTGTGCAGTGTATGCATCTATTGATGATATGGAGCTTTTCAGTCTCCTTCTACCTGCTTCCTTATACTGTCTGCAGCAAACTAACAGGTGAGCAATCCAGCAGGGGGCTGGTAACAGTGATTATCACATCGACAGAAAAACAACAGGCTCTCTCCATTACCTCAAACTCTTCTTAAACAGCTTACCAGCTGACCTGTTGATTAGATCCAACTAGCTGTAAGCAGTCACCGTTTTGTCTGCCTGTCCCAGTGAAATTAGAGAGAGATGCACACAGACACCTCTCAGCATTAGCTAGCATACCACGTGCCTAAGGGCCATGGGGCTAGGATTCATGCTGTGGGAGATGAGAGGGAGGAAGCTGGGATTCCTGCTTAAGCAGTGAGGGGGGTGGGGAGGCAGGGCAGGGGGAAGCCAGGCAGACCCTGCTGTCCCTGCAAGTCTCTGCCAGAGCTGCAGCCAGGGAGCAGAAGGGAGGAGCCAGTTCTGCTGTGAAGCAGAAAGCCCCACCCAGACCGGAGAGCATACTGGGATGTTGGGGGGGAAGGTCTGGTAAACTGGTTTGAGCCAAATCAGTTAAGTCTGATACTGCATTCAATGAGGTTTATCTTAAAACAGTTTCAGCCATTTTCAAACTGGTTTATGTGCACTGAACTTCTGTGCAGGTTTAAATCAGTTTCTGATAACTTAAACCAGTTTATGTGAAATGTCTGTCCCTAGTGTGAATGGCTCCACTCCTTAGTTTGTAGTAATTCCTGTATTTTCCTGAATCACAGTATGAAATACGATGGCCCAACTCTATAGGTATATCTGCAACCAGAAGTTTTTTATTTTCCTTCATGTAAGTAGTAATAAAGATAAAAATCCTTAATACATCAAACATGCTTCGTCTTTAATGGATCAACTCTAATAGGTGCTAACTCCTCTGTTTTAGCATATTTGAAGATTCCCAACATCTTACAAGAGACAGTACATCCTGCACAGTAAGGCCTGGACTAATTAATCCTCCACACCTCTATGAGCAAGGTAATGCAGGATCGGATAGGTCTTCACTTGTAATTTATCATTAATTATTGTCTCTCATTGTAGTGTTAAATAATATCACCTCATTTAACTTGGGAAATGAGCCTCATTGATTCCTTTGTCTTAGTAATTGAAAGGGACAGTCCCATAAGGTTTCATTATGGATTATTTGTCCTCTAATTCATCAACTAGGATTTACAGTTTAAATATTAAAAAAGATCCATTACAGAATATAAAGAAACAAGGAAAAATATGTAAGGTCACTGGAAAAAAAATTCTTGATTAAGCAATCTAAAGCAAACTGGAGTGAGAAGGTAAATAACCAGCTAAAGCAGGATTTCCCTGTAGAAAAACAGGAAAAAACCCCCTCCTGTTAACACTGGATTTTAATATTGAGAAATAAGACAACGGTTTACAGGCAAGTATATACTTTTGCAAATATGTATCTTTATACATGCTGTATTTGCCTTGCACTGTACTGTACATCTTCAACACAGAGATGGAGAATGAGGATAGGACAAGCTTGTTTAAGATTATAAGCTAAATTTTAAGCAAGCATACTGATTTACATCAATCCAAAGCATACATAAATATCAATCTGCTCTATTTAGTACTGGAATGGCCAAAGTTAAAAAAAAATTGAAAGGAAGACATTACCAGTAAAGATATATTTATGCTGAAATGTTATTGGCTACTAGAAATTTTGCCTTAAATTGAGTTTAAATTCATGCTCATAAGGATGTGAGTATATGTACAGGTATGCAGTTAGTGCTTTTCCATTTCAAGGATTAATCCACTGTTATTTTACTAGATAAGAACAGGGAGCATCCAGAGGCCAAATCCTATAGAATGCCATCCATTTATATGATCATTCATGCCAATAATGTTAATAGGTGAATGGATTACTCATGCATTTCAAAATCAGGGTTTTGAAGCAATTGTTCCCTTGGTACTTTATTCAAGAGAAGGTCTTACACATCCCCCAGACATTTCATCCTCATCTTCCATCTGAAGAGCCATCAGCAGAATTTTACAGGTGCGTTACAGAAAGGAGATGAAAACAAAACAAAGAATAGATGCACCTTATAATGAAATTGCTAAAAGTATTACCAGACTAGATGTAAGCTTAAAATACAGAGTATTTTAGCATTATCTATATCCTAGTCTTCATAGATTTTCTGATTTAGAACTCAAAGCATATATTAGTTCCCTTTCCCAGAAAGGTATCACTTACACACACTGGCAGTTGTGTGTAAATAAAGATCCTTCTGTTGTGTAGTCTGCTCAGTTTTCAAAGCTTTAACTGGTGAATTAATATGAAATTAATATTTGCATTACTTCCTGCCCCCAATTGTTTCAAAGCTAAGGCCTCACTGAGACTTTCCAACTTGAATATAAATTTGATCTAACTCATGTTTTCTCCCTACCCATGCATAGCTGTCAGAATGCGACACTTTCCCCTATCATTAATGCTCTTTCATATCTTCAGGATGGGTCTTTGTCAATATGCTAATTGGGCTATATTTCTCAGCTACTGAATACACAAAACACATGCTTAAGAGTCAATTAACTTTCCCTTTTACAGTTAACAGCTCTCAACTTCATTACCAAGCTTGAACAATATTTGCAAAGGGAGAGCAAGCCTTTTCGTGTAGCATGGCTCCACAAATATATGTTTGTTTATTTTATTTAAACAAAATTAAAAGAACAAACACTCCATGTTCTAGACTTCTTGTATCTACTATTAAAAAGCTACATAGAATAGAAACACTATAAAACAGCTTGAGACCCCTTAAAAATAATCATATGTCAGCAAGGAACTATCCCTTGAATTCAGGAGAACATGCAGATATCTTAGCCTCCCTTGCCTGCTCCAGATCCCTATTTAAAGAAATGGGCTTTACAGCAGTCTGGAAAAAAGAAAAATCTTGGGGCGTTTTAGGAGAATGAACCAAAAAAGAAACGAACATCATACCTTCATTAATTTTACCTGAGACGACTCCCTTCCTTACCACAGTTCCTGTTCCTAGAATATACCAAGGACACTGACTACCTCACTTCCCACAACTCTAGTGTAGTGTTGACCAAATGCAGTGTTATATGTAAAAGATCCTAGACAAAACAAGTATCTTCATCTTCATATGCAAACCAAGAAGGCTTAGCAGAAAGACAACCAGAAAAGTGAGAGACAGGTAAAGAGGAAGTACATTTTGTTTTTGTGTATATATGTATATATGTGTATGTGTGTGTGCATGTATGTATATACATACATATACACACACACATACACACACATACACGGGAACTGAATGGGAATTTCTAATTTGGGTAAGAAAGTTAAATTTGGGAAAGTGATGGAAAGATTGACCTAACTTGTGATATGTGTAAAGTCTGCATAAGGCTGAACTAAGTTAGATCATACAAAAAATTAGAACTTTTGGTTCCAAAATGATACCTTTTATTAGACCAACTGGAAAATGGCAAGAAAATTGTCCTTTTCTGCAAGTTTTCAGGATCAAAGTCCCTTCATCAGGCTCTGGGAAAAGTGTAGACGGTACAAGATGGTAAAAAGTCCCCATAGGTAGGAAATAAACTTCATTTTTGCACTGAGGGAGCTGAAGATGGAAGGTTGTCCCGCTGAGTCCATGAGAGTGTCTTTGTGAGCTGTGTTGAGTAGCTCTTTGATATGTTGTTCAGGTAGAATTCCTTCCCTGGAGGTGTCAGATGGCAGGCAGGGAGGTAAAAAACAAACAACCGCCCCCCCCCCAAGCTTCCTTGTTGTTCTATAATGAAGTTTAAAATCCAAAATCGGCTAAAATTCGGCATCTTCCATGTTTCAGGGGTGTACTTGGTAGCCCTGTTGGTCTGAGAGAAAAAGACATACAAAAAACTACAACTCTTGGTTCCAAAATGATACCTTTTATTAGACCAACTGGAAAATGGCAAGAAAATTGTCCTTTTCTGCAAGAAAAATGAAAAGGAAAATGATACTCTCATGGACCTAGAGGGACAACCTTTCATCTTCAGCTCCCTCAGTGCAAAAATGAAGTTTATTTCCTACCTATGGGGACTTTTTACTATCTTGTATCATCTACACTTTTCCCAGAGCCTGACGAAGGGACGTTGATCCCGAAAGCTTGCAGAAAAGGACAATTTTCTTGGCATTTTCCAGTCGGTCTAATAAAAGGTATCATTTTGGAACCAAGAGTTCTAGTTTTTTGTATGTCTTTTTCTCTCAGACCAACATGGCCACCAAGTCTCTCAGACCAACATGGCACCCCTGAGTTTGATCGGGTGGCCATTTTTATCATAATCTAACTTCCCCCTAACTTCTCCAAACATCTGTACATACCCAAAAAGAAACAGGCGAGTAGACAGAATGCTATAAGTGTACATTTAAGTGTACTGCACACTAAATTCCATGAAGATAAGCTCTGAAAAAAGAAAATTGTGCAGAAAGAACAACAATTTAGTGCTGTAGTGTAAATGGAATCTGCTAAAGTCCAGGCTTTGTATTTGTGTCACAGATATTTTCATATCACCCTCCATAACATTTTACAAAGTAGAATGCTATACCTTGTGATACAACATTCCTCATATATGTAAGCAGAACAGCATTTACTATCTCTCTGCAAAAAAACCATCAAGGCATTCAGACATCTCAATGAGTATTCCATTCCACTCAAATGGCCGACAGTAGAAATACCATAGACAGGCCTAATAATAACATATATACCACAGACAGAAGTAATAATAACAAATTCTGCAACAGATGTCTGCTGTAAAGCATAAGGATATTCAATCTGGTCCACAGTAGGTATACATCACATGTAAACCAGACTAATACAAAGGGAAACTGTCATTTTGATCCATTTTGTAATTTTTGGCAAAATTTCATTATAGGAAATTAAAACACATTTTTAATTGATTGAATAGTGCTTTTCACATTTCATCTGGAAGGCTTAGTGTATTAACGGTCTTTATCTTTTATTGTTTAATTAAGACTTCTTTTTCTGTCCTTTTAAGATATTTATTTGCAGAATTCATATAAAGGACAGAATTTTATATGTAACAAATGACGGCATAGAAGGAATTGCTACTACAATTCAGAGTGAAGACAAAAATATTTCCACTCTTGATAAGCAAAAGGAAAAATTCAGCTGATCATATGGAATTTCACTCAATCTTTTTGAAGCCATTCAGTTTCCTGCATGGTACACTACTTCCAAAATCTGTAGGAATGGGATATATTTAAACTTTTATTTTGTTTTGTTTTACCAGCATGAATAATTCAGCAAACCTATAGTCTGTACCATAAATGGCATCCATTAGATTTTTTTCTCTTACATTATGACCTTTCTTTAAAATTAATAAAATCAAAATGTATATGTAAATTATAGATTGAATGGATATAACCTAAACTCTGAAGTCTTTTTGAATGGATGCATGGGAGAAGAGTATGATTCAAAACCCTTCAATAATGCAGTTTAACATTTAAACAATTAACAACCATCAGCAATGAAAACTTATTAAAACATACCTCTAATGAGTCTAAGCAAGTTGTATCATCAGATGACCTGGATCTATTTTTCTGTAAACAATTTTTCAATACTGTAAAGTTTTTCAGTTGTATGCATGTATTATTATACAGTATCTAGACACCTGTAGCAGGCTCAAGGATACAACCCTGGTGTCTGATGCACCCTGGTGGTCAGGCTCGCCTGCTGAGCTCTCTGGCCACTAGGCCTGTGCGAAGCAGCTAGTATTCGGCTGATTCAGGGGACAGTGATTTGATGATTTGAATCACTGTCCCAAATCAATTCGGCTGAATTAGATTTGGAAATTGGGCCACCGCTGAATCAACTGAATCCCCGAATCAAACAGGCCCCATCCCCTGCCCACTCTCCCAGCCCCAGTGTCCCTGCTCTTTAAAAAATAAATAAATAAAAAGCCCTGCGACCACCAGCTCCTGCCAGGCCAAGGGGGGCAATCCCTGCTTCCTTCCACTTCCCTATGCTGTGGTAGGGGCTCAGCCATGAGCCCCCAGAAGCCCTGATAGCTGCCACAGCAGCCAGTGAGTGTGGGTCTTTTTTTTTTTTTTAAAGAATTGGGAGCTGGGGGGGGCAGGTATCGACTGGGCTGGGAGAGTGCGTGGGGGATGGGGGCTCATGGCAGAGCCTCCCATGCAGTGCAGGGCAGTGGGGTGGCTGCAGGGATCACCCCCACCAGTGAGTGCAGGGCTTTTTTTTTTTTGATGAGCTGGGACACAAGGGCCATGCAGGACAGCCGTTGACATGGCTGGGAGAGTGGGTGGGGGTTGGGGGGAACAGGCAGGGGATGGAGTCTGGAGGGGGCCCCCCTGGTCCCCTCTCCCCCACTTATTGGCATAGAGTCTGGGTCCTTGTGGCAGTGAGTGGGGACTGCCTGAATCTCTGAAGCTCTCTGAATCTTTTCTGAATTGATTCCTAGAGCTTTGAATTGATTTTGACCTTTTTATTGGTCTCCTGATTCAATTTGGATTTAGAGATATGGCTGCTGAATCGGGCCGAATCTCCTCCGAACTGAATCAGCACCCAAAGCTTTGCACAGCCCTACTGGCCACCCTTATCTCTTGTCTCTTCCTGTCACACCTTGATATTAACAGTGATACTGGGGAGGCTGACCCTTGGATTGGAGTAGTTTCTTTGGTGCCATGACTCTTGGCTCCATCCTTGGGCTTCTCTGTTCCCAAACACAAACCTGCCTCTCTATGTCTCTCTAGGGGTGCGTCCCCTTTAAGGCAATCCCCAGGGCTTCTCTGCCTTACTAATACCAATTATGGTCCTGCAGAGGCTAAACTTGCCCACTTGGGCCTAACTATGCCTTAGGGCTATAATTGTGGCCTCCAGCCACCTCCATCACTACACACATATCTCACAAGTGTCACTCAGTTGTGATTTCCATATGGGTCCCTGACCCAACCAATAAATGTGTCCCCTTAGGCCTTAAACCCTCATTTGGGTATCAGCCTTCTCAGTCTTTTTCCTCAAGCTAAGACCCTTAGCCCTGGCCCACAGCCTCAGACCTCATCCCCTTGTTCTCAGCCCCTCAAACTCCAATGGAAAACCAAACAACTCCAAACACAAACCATAAAGCACTCAGTTACAACTCAGATACAAACCCATCCTTGGGTCTCTGACTGCTACATCACTCCTACCCAAGGGAGATGTCCTGTCTGCCCAGCCTTCCAATTACCTTCCTTCCTTCCTGGCAGCCAGCTCAACTTGCAGCTCCTCTCCCTGCTGCATGCAGGTTTAGACTCAAATCCTACTTTGGGTCTCTCTCAGCTGCAGCACTACTAAACTAAAAAGCTGGCTTGTTCCCCATCCTCTAAGGCAGGGGTTCCCAAAGCAGTCACAGCCCTCTGTGGCCATAATTTCCAGCCAGAAGATAGGTAAGGATACCCCCAGCCCCCTGGGTGGGGGTGGGGGTTGGGCCAAACCCTGTGCTGCCACGGGCTCTGCAGAAGGAGCCATGACCTCTTTGTCCAGCTCCATGGTTTGCCAGTCCATGGCCACTTCTGGTCTGGCAGCTGAATCCTGCAGACTGGCAACTGACCATGCTCCGAACTGGCAGCCAGCCCGCCGTGGCCTGGCACAGGGCTGGTGTCCAGGGATTGAGAACCCCTGCTCCAAGGTACCTCCCTTATTCTATGGCAGCTAGCCCTATTTGTAACTCCTCCCTCTGCAGCCTGAAGGTCTAAACTGCCTACCCCAGCCCAGATAATCAGTGATTATACATTCACCCAAGCCCTGCCCCCTTCTTGTCAGCTGATCTCAGCTTTTCAGGATGGGCTCAGGGATTTCTGGGTCACCAGTGGGCTCAGTCCATAGGTCAGTTGGATTTCCCTGCCCTGCAGTCCTCTTTAGTTGCTCAGCAGCCTCAGGCTTCAGTATTTGGACCTTGTTAGCTTGAAAATGGTATTTTAAGATCTTTTTTGGGGGGAAGGGGGGATTGTATAGATATATGCATTATAAGGTTTCAAGATGGGCATCAGGGGTTAATGGATTTCTAAAAAACTTGGATGTAACACATAAAGCTTCTCATAGCCCTGGAACCAGATAGGCTGTCTAGCACAACAAGTCCAATGGATGGACACAACCTGAGAACTGAGGGGGGCAACCCATAACATGAAATCACAGCTTCCAAGGCAAACAGGTTGTCTAATACAACAAGGACACACAGCCTGGGAACCAAGGAAGTATGTACCATACTGTCCCATAACACAAGATAAGTGACACCAACTACAAAGTCCCAGAACAGAGGGGGGCCTGAGTCCTGGTTTTGGGGGAACAGGCCAAATTAGAAGCAGGCCCAGAAGACTACATAGATGTGTGACCCCAGTGAGACAACCAACCAGAGACAGCCACAGATGAGGTCATCAGGAGTCATCAGAAGGGAAGGAGAATACAAAAGCAGAGACTTGAGAGTAACAAAGGGTCCCTCCCTGTTCTTTCTCATCCCTTTCTTTGTCCCACCCCTTCTTCTCCTCAAGAGGGGTCCCCATCCCCATCCCTGTCCCCCCCAGAAAGGTCCCTGAGGCCACCATGGACCAAGGGCATACCAGTAGTCCGTCTCATGCACCCCAGTGGAGGGGGGCTGTAGGCCTCGGTATCCTACCTCCAGACTGCTGACACCTGAGAGAAAGAGCAGAATGAAGCCTGCATCCTGACCAGATGTACTTTGACTCTGATGACAGTCCTAGGATTAGTAGATATACAGAATTGTTTGATTGTTTGTATTGCTTCCTTTCTGTTATCACTGTGTATCAATAAATTTACCTATTATCGAATGGAAAGATTGTGGTCGGTTTGAATGTGGGTCCCCCTGCCCCAAACAAGGTATCTGGACCCTAAATCCAGAACCAACAGGTCTGTGTTGCTGCTGGCTGCTGCAGACCTCTGCCCTTGCAGAGCACAAATGTCTTATTCCTTTAGAGACCCCCACCTCTGCCTCCTGCTCCCTTCCCTTTTCAAGATAACAGGGCTGGGGTTCCCTATTACAACATCCTAACAAAGTCTGTACATCAGCATTTAGGAAGAGACAGTTTATGTCCCTGAAGGCTGTACATCTAAATAAAAAAAAGATACACGAAGGCTGGTAGAGGAAACAGAAGTATGGAGCGTATCTATGACTTGCTCAGGGTCAGAAACTAAGTCAGTAGCTGAATCAGAATGAAATTATAAGTCTCTTCACTCTCACTGCAGTGCCTAGCCAAGTAAACCAAGGGAACGGAAGATACAATACAATTCTATTTAAATAATAATACTGAACTTTGACATCTTTAATTGTTCTAGTATGCAAGACCATAATGGCTCTTTTGCCATTGTGCTATTACTTGGCCATCATTGTATTGTATCTCACTTATTCTTCAAGGTAAACCTTGGGTTTATAGTAACTATTTTAACTTCTTCAAATAATGCAAACCTCAGCAGCTTAACATTTAAATCAGGATTACTTCTCAACCAAATTGCAAGGGACTGAACTAGAATATTCCAAATCAATATATGACTAACAGGATTTTTCCCATTGCAGGCTAGCTAAATTCATATGTATTCTCAGCTGCTGCTTCCTCTGACTGATTATAGTCAAGGATGCAGCAACCTTTGCTGCTTGGGTGAACTCTTTCAGCTATCTTAATGCAACTTACAGTGCACCCAGGAATAATCCTTTGTTCAATATTGCTGAATCGGCTGTTTCACTGACCAGTAGTTTTCTAAAAAGCTCAAAGACATTATCACTTAGCAAATATTATTTTGTATTTATTTTGAGACTTTTTATTACACAGGGCTGAACAAATGCCTTTGCTGTGGTATACTATGAATATTTTATTTTTCAGTTCAGGTTGGGAGCTGATTTTGAAAATTTCTTAAAACAAATTATTTTATTCTATTTAGACTTAGGTTAAATGTTGGCATTTTATATAAAATATCCATTTTACTCAGATATCTAAATGGGTATGTGTGCATAGTGTGGTCTTCACTATATCTAATAAGATATAGGATATTAAAACATATAAGACTTTTAAGACATTGCAAAAAATCTCCAACTGTTTTGTCAGTAATGAACAGCCCACAAATAGGAAAGAACAATGCATACTGAAGAAGAAGGGGGAAGATTCTTTTCAGTTTATGTAATGTTTTCTTTCTACTGTTAAGCCAAAGGAAGAAGGCAGCCAATGAGTTCTGCACTCTTCCCCCATCCTAATAATTTATATATATGCCTGGATGTTTTGAGCTTCTTATTCCTGCCATGATCTCCTTCCCTACGATTGTAGTATAGGAGATGCATTGTTATGAGAGCGCAGGTCTGACTAATTGCCTGTTTGGGGGATCAGGAAAGAATTTTTCTCAGTGGATCCCAAATTGGCAGAAGTCTTGTGAGTGGTTTTTGACTTCCTCACAGCATCATGTAGCTAAGATGAATAGGTACAGAAGCTAGAATTTTAACATACAGTAGCTTATAGAAGTGTTTCATTCGTGAAAAGTTGTTTATTGGTCATCAGTCACCTGGGTGCCTAGGTCAAAGAAACAGTCCTTTACATCCTGCTGGCCAGAGGTTTTTTTGTTTCCTATATGTATTACTTTGTTGACAAGAATATGCTCTGGATGCTTGATGGCAAGCTGTTAAACAGGGTTTCCAGCTACTTTGCATCACAAGAGCAGGAGAAGCAGCTGCAAAGTATACCTCTGATTCTCTTCTCTCACAGTTTTTAATGTATCCA